ATACCAATAATTATGAGATTTGTTTGAAGGGGGTGTTTAGTAATGGAAATTAGTGTCCCTTGTGCTGGCAGTGTATCATGTTGACTTCCGCGAGGTCAGTCTGTATACTTACTGTTGAATTCGTTACGATGGACTATCTTCTTTATTGGTAGCGTAAACCTACTGTTTGCCGAGACAGATGAAGAATAATCATACATTAGAAAAAGAATATTTCAGCATCATCAGCACCACCTACAACGCTGCCAGCTTCTATCTCCCAGGTCGTCTGTACCGAAGTTATTTCTTTTAGAGATAATTTGTATATTTGTTATATCTATTACATAGTTTTCTTTTTGTAAATATATTTCAGTGCCCAAAATAGTGATATTATTGTTCTTTAGATACAGGTACCTATAATAAAAATGTGGGCCAGAGAAAATGGTCTGTGTAAGTTTCACTCACAAAGAATTAGATAATATACGATGACATTTTCACAGATAGTTGGTATGACAGCTTTAAGCTCACCTCCTGCCACGTTGTATTCAGATATAGGGATCTACTCGGAATACTGGGATCAGTCATGATAGTATCCTGTTAAGTGTGAAGTTCGATGCAAGCTAAAAAAATCTTATTAACTTCCAAAGAGGTTACTTAATTATCTTACTATTTTTAATTGCGCAGTCGACTCTTGTTAATTGATTTACAAGTTAATATAAAACTGTAACCACCGATAAAAAATAAAACAAAAGTATATTTTATCTACAGCATTTTATTGATAACTGCGTACAGTTCAGAGAGAGTCGTCTAATGTTAACATTGCGTGGTAATTATTCTAATCAGTAACATTCAACTAAAACCTTCTTTACCGACGTTTTTGTCCCAATAAAAAAGTAAATATAGTAGCGATATATAATTTTATAGTAGAAAATATCTGCGGCTCCAATTTTGTGGAAGTAAAAGAACATTATGAATGAATAGTATCTGTGTTGTAAATCCACATTGTGATTTTTTTCCCTCGAATTTATTTATAGACAATTCAGTCATTAGAAATATTTTCGAGCGATTTTATGTCCACAGCGAATACAGCCCTATACATTTCCATATTGAAAAAATTACAGTGCTAATCTAGTGCCCTAACGAATGTTAGATGCTAACATTTAAGATTAGACTTTAAATTGATAATAATAGACTTAGATTGGACTGTCAGTCGGTCATCAAAGGATTAAAATATTCTTTAGCAAAAGATATATTTGTCTATACGTGATTTCTCTTTAGTTACTCGAATACACGTTGGGTGATAATTTCTCAAATTTACAATTTTACTAAAACTTATGACATGGATTTTTCTGTGACATGAATTTACAAGCATTTATATTAGATGCATACATGCGTGACAATATGTCACGTCACGGTGACAAATTGTCACGTATGTATGCATGTAATATAATTTAATGCTCGTCATACCTAGAGTTTAATGACATTGGTGCACAAGCAATGAAGATACAGATGACAACTTGTCATCATGACAATATTGTCTCAAGTTTGCAGGTATTATGGGATATAATTAAACATATATTCCCATAGAATTGAGAGTAACTTTGAAATTTGTCACGGTGACAAGTCCGTTACTCCAGCAGTAACATGTAAATTGGTTATTTAAATTGAAAAAAAATAACACGATTTGTTATATGCAATTAATTTTATAACATACAGAAAGTCCAATAACCAAACAAGACACAACGAACGTAAAAACATTGGAAGACGCATACCAAAAACGTTTAAGGCACATTGCGTTCAATTTTGTGACTTATTTGCAAATACATAAGGCTTAACAGATATCAGTTCCTTGGTTTGTCTAGGAATGCATGACCGTAGAAAAAAAATGCAAACCGAAGATATTGAAAATTAAACTTTACAATCATAAATATTGGATTCGAAATAAATAATTGCTACTTGTGAAGAGGTAAGTCGACAGAATACATATATATATATATATATATAGAGAATAAAGGTAACTGGAAATTTAATAAATTAAAAATAATAGACAAATATAGAAGTTTTCACCGTTGTAATATTTAAAAATATCACATAACGCACAATTGTCGACTTACCCATAAAATTGAAACAATAAATATGATAAAAAACGACCAATAGCGTGAAAACACATCGATTTGAGGGTTCCGTAGCAAATAGCAAGTAATAACATATTTTTAACACTTCAATAGAAAAGAAGTAACTATTTATAACTAGCTACCGGGTGTACATGTATTATACATATAAACGTTCCTCTTGAATTACTCTATCTATTAAATATGGATCATACATAAGGACGGACAGAGAGCGACAGCAAATTATTTTATACTATGTAATGATATCTTCCAAGAAGACAAAGATTTATGATAGATATATTTAAAATTCCATATCAATTAATACAGAAATATACGCAGATTGTCTTTTTTATACTACGATGGTGGCAAACAAGCATACGGCCCATCCGATGGTAAACGGTTACCGTAGCCTATGGACTACTACCGTACATAGACTGCGGTAGTCCACAGTATACTCAAGCAGGGGAGACACGAGCACGTTGCCGACTCTTAAGAAACTTTAATATAGCCTTCTTGAAAAAGATTGCTATGTTCTGTCTGTCGCATGTCTATAAGACATAAATTTAACATAAATTTTCTTATTCTTTTTTATCTGTGTACAATACAGAGTTAATACGTAAAATATTATAATTTTGTATAAAATTGAAGTATTTGCAATTCGCTACAGAACCCTGTAAATTGGCCGTTGCAACCTTTATAATTAAATTAATATAATCGTAAACTAAATACATAATAATTGTTTGCATAGTGTTAAGATATTAACATCGTATGGACCACATTGAAGACTGTGTCGCGTAACATTGAAGCTATAGTAACAAGTGCTTTATATTTAAACTAAGTGCAAACTTAATCTCTTTTCAGGATACATTACTAACAATTGTGAATCCTGAAAAACATGTATCAATAATAATAATAATATTTTCATGTCTGTAAATCCCAGCTGACCAGCCTCAGGTAAGGGAATCGTTAGTAATTCTTCTAGCTTCTTGAAGGTTCTATTTACCTATTGAATAACCTATTGCAATAATCCAAGACATTGTAGGAACACGACATCGTCGTCTATATCCGGACCAAAAGTAACCTGGCCATAAGAGTGACGCGGAGGACTACTGGCCCAAAGGTGTGGTCTACCGTGGCAGATTTCCGTCGTCGGTGCTGTGACCATAGATCCAATTTGAATTAATATTTTATTATTATTTCCTATGCATATTAGTCTATAAGGTATTTATGATGGGCCATGTAGCCTGAATTAAATAAAATAAATTATTTATAATAACAAGAACGACAAACAGAAGAGGTTGTTTGTCTGAACGCACTAATATCAGAAACTATTGGTTCGAATTGAAAATTTCTTTGGGTTGGATAGTCCATTTATCGAGGAAGGCTTTCAGCTATATAACATTACGCTACGACCAATAGGAGGGGAGCTGCAATGAAAAATATTGTAAAATGATACGCAGACGAAGTTGCGCAGGTCAGCTAGTTTTTTATAACGCACTTAAAGTCAGCTCCATTACCAAACATGTCTTATTCTAATCCATTCATAACAATACGACACAGAGATCAATGCAATCGTTGTGGCATTGTTTTATACCGTGACCGCTGGTGGCTGCCTTTAATATAACGCGTTCGATTTTGTATCTACACTTACAGAGGAATCCGTTCATTATGGCAAGGCGCGTATTGACAATGGAATACTTTTATTTTGGTACCCGAGTAGCAAACAATCAGGTGGACACTTGATGGTGACAACTATCACCTATCACAGATATCATGTCATCACGTCATCACCAGTTGTAATTATTGCCATGTCTGAGTAATTTACTCCCATATTTTACCATTTAACCTTGAATACAGGTTTTTTTAGGTACTTTTTTTTCGGACTACTAATGCTGTTGTCGCAGCTGGCCGTCATAATTTCACTGGACGATAGGCGTATACCCTCCAATGCAGAAGACTGAGTAAAAAACACACAGCGCCATCTAGTCCCAATCTAAGCGGATCTTCTATTAAAGGTACCAGACAACTGATATTTATATTTTTTGTAAATATACACATAATATACTCGTATATAAAAAAACAACCAGACCAATACAAACACACATCCAAATGATTAGACCGTGCAAGGAATCGAACCCGCGACCATCGGATGTAGAGCGGAGTGCTAAACCGCTTGACCACCGATATTGAAACAAACATGTGAGCTCGTCACTTCTGAGCGATGTCATAACAAACGGATTCTTCTTAAATCCACCACATACAAATATTTAGAATTCATAAACACTCAACTTCTACAATTGAGCATATTTTTGTAACTTACGTTAACTATATACAATTTTATAATAACACGTGCAGGCGCCAACTAGACATTTATAATTTCACATTTGGAAATCGATACAAAACTATAACAATATTAATACAATTGACAACAGGATACGTCTGAAACACGTAATAGTTAGTACGATTAAACATCCTAATTGAGTTTCTTACAATATCCAATTTCTTCTAACTATTCTTAGTTTATTTTGTTATTATTCTATAAAATACATCGACTACGGATAATGTTGTACAAACACACAATCTGTTTTTAAATTATCATACCATACAGCCAATAACCAGATATTATATAAAAAAACATTAGTTTTCTAATTAAACCTACATATCGGTTAACTACACACTGACAAATCCGCAGTCTAGTATTTCAAACATTTTTTTTAAATTACTTAAATTTCGAGTATAGTATTAGTTTCCAAAGTTGTTTAATTAAGCAGTCTTACACGGTATAAAACGAGGCCCCTCCGACGAGCCTTAAGCCTCAACGAGGCTAGGGCCTCAATGAGGCTGAGGTCCCAACGAGGCTAGGGTCTTGATGAGGCTGAGATCCCAACGAGGCTGGAGTCTCAACGAGGCTGGAGTCTCGACGAGGCTGTAGTCCCAGAGGTCAGAGCCCCGATGAGGCTGAGATCCCAACGAAGCCGTGGCCGCGATGAGGCTAGGGCCCCGACGGGGCTGGGGTCCCAACGAGGCCGTGGTCTCGATAAGGCTAAGGTCCCGACACGGTTGGAGTCCCAACGAGGCTCAGACGCTCAGATGGTGACGAGACTCGGCACCCGGTGAGACTCTGGACTCCGCGATCGTTTCGTCTAATAATCATCTACGTCGTATAGATTGTCGATTTCTTCATCGTCCAACTGCATCGATTGGAAGTCTACTTTGTAACGGAGAAGACCTGAAATGAAGTATAACATGTAAATTACAATTTGATCTATCAGATCTAACAGCAACCAAGTGATCAAGATTAAAACTTGGTTAAATTTGAGTTTATTTTAATAAACATTATTTCTACAAACAAAAGTGAAATGAAACAATATTATGCTCAAAACATACAATTAAACTAGTTTAGGCATGCAAATTTAGACAGATTATTTTGTCAATATGTACGTATATTACACACACAATATTTTCCCAAAATGTCAATAGAATTTAAATATTTAAATATGAATATTACTGTTTATGTGAAAATTTATTTTGAAACAACTGAAATCACTCAACTAAATAACTAAACTAACACTCCCATGTGATAAAAATAAATACTACTGCCTCATGAAATAAAAAAATGTGTCGTATAAAATGCATAACCAAAACAACATAATTTAGCAAATAAAGATGTAAGCTTTTTATTACTCTTCTCACAATAATGTAACATTTCGAATTCCAAAATCATAGTGGCCAGTTGGAGCACTTCCATTTTAGGATCCTGACTGTCCATACTGCTTTTCCGTTCCAATTGTATAAAAAAAAAACAAGTCTAATTAAAAAATTCTAAACACGTGCAAAATTCAATTCAAATTGTCTAACCTGTTACCTATAATTGAATTCACCGGCAATTTTATATATTCCTTTATCCACGTTAGAAGAGATTCTTTTACTATTTTATTTTCATATTTCACTTCCAGCAATGCGCACTGTTATATTAAATGTCTAAAACAGCATATCACCTTTTCTATCATTTATTATTTCAACCTCAGTGGTGTAGTGGTTTATTTAACGCTTTACTTCCAATAGTCACAGGTTCGATTCCTCGCACGGTACAAACATTATTATTTATGAGAGTAATGTAAATTCTTGTTGTGGGTCTTTTCTATGTATATTAAGTATGTATTAAAAAAATGTATTGAAGTATTTATATAGTACAGTAGTATAGTACTCATAACCAAGTTCTGATTAGCTTGGGACTAGATGGAGTTGTGTGAATTGTTCAGGAATGTCATTATTATTGATTATGGGCCGCAATTGAGAAGTGAAGGGTACTGCCATACACTTATTATCTGAGGGAGATTTTCAGTCAATTCACACAGACATTACTACTTAATATACTAAGTCAATCATAGTTAATAATAATAATTACCATAATCCAGAGCAAGCATAGGAAAACAACCATATATAAAACATATTATTAGTAAGTATTCAAATAATAAAAAAATAACAAATACAAATGAGAATTTCATTATTTTGGTGGTAAATGAGAATGTGTAGATGTTTTATTTTTTGTTTTTATAGTTATAAATCACAGAGTTGATAACAAATTGTAGTGTAGTTAGTGATGATTCTTCGAAGTTATGGAGCGACTGTAATCCACCAGCGGACTTTATTAACAAAAACAAGAACCCACTGTATTAGGTTGTGTTAATACATACAAAACAAAGTACAAAAGATGTGTGTTGAATGTTTTATACTAGATACATAAATAATTACAATAAATTAAGTAGAATTCCAAATTGAAACTGTAACAAATATTTTGTCGAACTCAAACTACACCAGAAATCAAATAATTGGACAACTTTGAAAATGGAATTATGTTCCAAAAGTCAAATCGGTATTAAAGAATGGTATAATGTATTTTTCAACACACTTGCTCGTAAAGTGCATCCAATTTCACAGATATATAAAGCAGCTTAATAGTGAAGTTATATTCCATAATATGCTATGTTTTTTTATCAAATTTTGAACTGACCGATGAGCGGGGCGGCCATTAGACAGCGCATTTTAAAAAACTAAAACGGCGGGAAAGCAGCTGCGTGCGTCACAGTTTTATGGTTGAGTTTATTTAAAATCAAATGTGTTGAAAAACGTCGTACGATAAACATGCGTATTTAACACATTCGGCTCTATTACGCCTTCGCCTTACATACGGGCTGAAACTGAAATTCCGCCTCGTGTGTTATAACCATCATAAAGCACTTGTATCGTAATATACTTATTAAGTGTTAAAACACGTCAATGTTTTGCAGGATTTTTTATGTAATGTAAGTGTTCATGACGTTTGATATAAAACAACACACTTTCAAATGTACTCACTTGGATAAACCATCTGTCAAATATCGCAAGGCAAAAGAATCATCTGACGTAACCTTATTTCTCGTCGAGGAATTTAATTGAATTTAATGCACAAATACAAAAATAAAGGTGTAGATGGTGATTTGTAGATGCAGATTTAACACCATAAGGCATTTTCTCGTAGTCGACCATAGGGCAGACAGAGATTAGTGGGCGGTGATTAAGTAAATAACATGTCATATCCTCTGTCAATGTTAAGATCCGGTTAACCATATAAATAAAGTTAAAAAAAACTATTATGTTTATTGGGTCTGGAAGTTCTTTAAGTATATTATGTATGTATTTTAATGTCTCTAGCAGTGTAGTCAGTAGTGTCAATCAGGGACTAGATGGCGCTTATTTGTCCAGAGTTATTTTATTAAATGTTATATTATCATAGTAAGTATAAAAGGTATATTATATTACACGGCCACATCAAAAAAGAAAATTTATGCCAAGGCGATATCAATAATATAATTAGTAAAATGACGGGTTCTCACCACGTTTTATTTTTATTGACTTCCCGATATATTTGCTAATGATTTTTACTAATTGTACGTATAAATAATGACCGCGTCAAATTTAAAACGGTAGATATCAATGGTTCCCTTAAAATGACGTTTATGGTTATGACGTTGGTTTCATTTTCCAATTTTATGCAGCGATGTAATTTTAAATGATAACATTCGTTTATTTGCAAAATTTTTTTTTTCTTTTCATATAATATCAGAAAAGCATACATTTTCATTGCACCCTCATTACAAACCATTATATAACCTTAAAATTATTTCCTCTTCAAACATTGTAATTAGAATAATAATTGTTCCGTTAAAAATATCCTACCGTCTAAAAAAATTGCCCGTTTACGCACCGGCGGTGTTTACAAATAAATATTTTTTTTCTATTTCGTTAAAATATGTTCTAAACGTCACATCTGCGTGCAGATTTAAATATTCCAGTGACTCTCTAATAAATATAACTAAAAGTCTCTAATATCATATAATAATATCTATATGTTTTGCAAAGAATAAATATATATGAGATACGCGGCGACTCTGCATTTAAAATTATTTATAGAAACGTTGAAACGTTATTAAAAATAGGTCGTTGTCACAATGTGAAAGTCTAATTTGAGTCTAGCTCATTTTTAAAACCATATTTTTTGTATTTCTTTTCAAAAGGAATATATTTGTCCGATGGTTACTCACTATACAGGCCCTGATGGGTTTGAGACTAGATGGCAAAGTGTGAAAAATTTTTAAAGGCATTTTTGGCCCAATAATGTAACTAAATATACATGTAAATAGAAGTGGTAACGGTTTCTTCGATTGTAGAAGCTTAGTTGTTTTTATCAACAAAGGAATATATAATTCATAAAGGATTCATATCAATATATACTTTCGCAAACAATTTTAGTTACGAAAATAAAGTCGACCTTAATACCTGAAACTTGACAATAAATTTATATAATTTTAATAAATTTATATATATATATGCAATGCAGAGTCAAGCACTATCTCGCGCAATCTAAAACCAGAGGATTACATTATATACAGAGTGGAAACTTTGCAGCCAGTGCCCATTTTGGTGTATAACCGTTGCATAGAAATATAATAAGTATGAACAAAACCTTGGCTACCTCGATGGTCTGACGGTTCTGGTAGTGCAGTTATATTTAAATATTTGTATACATATTTATTTTATTCTGTGTATATATATATTATTTTCTCTATATACTATATATTATTTATGTATAAAAAAAGTATTTATTTATGACTATTGCAGTCGTTTATATTCAGTTTTAGTAGTAACTTTTAGTTCAGTACACATTTTTAATTTTGTTTGTACATTTGTTTTTAGAAGCATAGGTCTAATGCTACTGGGGGGGATAGAATTGTTAATAACGGGAGTTTCAGGCTCCTTTAATAACAATCCCCTATATCATGTCAGGGCAAACTCCTTCAACCATCCTTCAGCACTCCTTCGACCGTCTGGTCGTAACCGTCATGAATAATTCTTGGTTAATCTTGACTATTTCATTTATTCAATCATTTAGCACCTACTATTAAAGCCCCGCCAGCGAATACCGTTAGGTCGGGCGTGAGCATCGTTCCTTTATCATTCATAAAAAATTCAAACTGTATCTAGTACTTTCATACTAGTTAGGTAACAACTATAATATTTTCTTGCTAAACGGCTGGACCGATTTGGTCAAATTTTGTAGGCAATTAGGCATCAGGTTGCTGGATGGTTCCAGAACATAATTGAACCCGATTGTGGCGTTGCTTTTCCGGGCATGACCATGTCTGCTAGTAATAGTATAACTATAATATAATTACTCAGTTCTCAACACAAACCATTGCAATATTAACTCCGTTTACAGCTTCGTAATTAAGGACGTTAAATTACCCTCGACCATTAGTCGACACGTGGTAAATACTATATTTACCATTAAATTGTTCATGTTAAGACCCGACAAACTATATTAACAATATACTCATCAGTTGTCTAGTACCTATAGTACAAACTTCTCTCATTTTTGAACTAGATGGCGCTGTCACATGTTATTTATTTATTTGCGCAAGTTACCTATTTTATATGATCAACGTTTTCATCTAATCTATTAAGTATATAAGAAAATATATATATTTTTTACTTTCTTCTAATTCTACGTTCTTTTCATTGTTTATTGCTATTGTATTAAATTTATCACTATCCACAACTACGTTTCCATTAATATAATATATATATAACTATAACTACTAACTATAGACGTACAGTTCCATATTACACAACAAGTACCCTTTAAATCTATGTTTTGACAAAGTTTACAATAATATTCATATATACCAC